GAGCATGTTAAAAAATTCTCTTCATCTTGCTGTGCAATCCTTCCAGACTGTTGTTTGTTCTTGGTCCGTCCGTGCCGAAGTGGTCCCACAAAAGTTGGTCTCCATTCACCCACTGCTCTGTCACATAGTCTGTAAAGTTCTGTTTCAGCTCTGTAAGATCAGCTTCATCTCGGTCTTCCAGGGCTGTAAACCATTCATCCTCAATGCAGTCAACGGGAACTAGAGGCAGAACAGCTGCTCCTCGAACCAATGTCATTGAATCATTGAATAAATCATTTTCACAACTATACATAAAGTTAATTATCTTAGATTAAGTTTTATCATGAATACTTAAAATGATTTCGAAAATGATACATTGTTATTACATAAGATGTATTCAGAGTAAATGCCTAAGATTTAGGTAAAAACGAACATAAAAATTGTGAAGCACCATGAAAAATTAACTGAATTCATTGGATGGATTGAAAAAAAAATTGTCTAGTCTAGAATATTTCTAAAAGAAAACGAAGATTTTTTTGTCGTTTTAAATATGCTATATGCATTTAAATATATTAATATATGCAATGTTAAAATATTAACATTTTGATTTAAAAATAAATAGAATTAAAGATTAATTAGCAAAAGAATTTTTTTTTCTGATTGAAATGAAGGTAGTTTTTTTTTTTTACTACAAAATAAAAATAAATAGTTTTGAATTTTTAAGTAAAAAATATTTAAAAATTTGAATAACATTTAATTCATTTTATAGGAATTATTGTTAAGATTTTTGAAACATTGATTAATATAAATTGACTAAATTACCTAGTAAATACTAGGAAAATTTGAGTAAAAAATATTTTAAAAATTTAAATAACATTTAATTTATTTTATAGGACTTATTGCTAAGATTTCCCTTATATAAGTTTTTGACACAGTCTTATAAATGCAGGTAGTTTATTCATAGTTTAAAACACAGGTAACACAGGTAAACTCTACCTGTACCCCTCAGAGGGCCCATTAAATGAGTGTGATAACTATACTGTTTATATAGGGAGTAGACGTTCAGGGAACACACATAATTAAGTGCTCTACATTTTAGAATTTAAAGACGATAGAATCGTTTGATTAAAGTTCTAGTTAGAAAATTTATATGTTTGTATTTTTTAATTATCACAGATCTTACTTTGTCGGCAAAATTTTTATTGTGTTGCACGCATAAATATTGAGTCGTTACTGTGTCGGAGAAAATTTTACTGTGTCGGGAGCAACACAGTTAAACAGCTCATGGAGAACCTTGTGCAGTTATAATTTTGCCGAAATTGCAGATTCTAACGAATGGAGATTAAGATATAGTTAACCCCGTCCATACTGTGGCGTAAGCTGTCCCACATCTCATTGACCTGTCCAACATCTCACTCAGCTAACATCGACTTTTTTATGCCCGCTCAGCAAAACATTAGAAATGATAGAATTTTCTCCTATAGATGTATATAGGAAGTAATTTTCAATGGCATAACAATATATATTAAACTACACATGAACTTTTCCCATCATTGGTCTGAAAAAAGACGAATACAAATGGTTTCCCAAAAGTTTTAGTTAATACCAGTTCCTTTAAAGTGAATTTAACATTAAGAAATATATTAATTATAATTTAGAGTGGAGGGCGCTGTCTGGGGATCCCCCTCAATTATATGTTTTTTTAAGACTAATACAGTCTTACGGGCAGATAAATCAACATTGATGATTTCCCGGCAATCGAATGGACCTGCTTTAAAAACGATAACCCAGTTCTCATTATGAAATCTTGCTGTTATCAAGTGCTGTTTCATATCAAATCTCAAGTCCAATCAAGCGATATTACTCAGAAGCAGAACAAACATGCAAGGACTTCATAAAAAAAGTTGTATCAGGTGCCTGTTAACCAAATTATTCCATGTTTTCATCTTTCGTTAATGCCTTGGCATATTATTCTTACTAGACAGTGATTCCTGAAATAACGGAAACATCCATCCGTCTACAATTCAGTCTATAAATAATTGCAATGTAATGGACATCTTGGAGTGTTTGCTGTGTAATGGACATAATATAGAGTGATTGCAGTGTAATGGACATCTCAAAGTGATTGCAACGTAACGGATATTTTGGAGTGGTTTTAATGTAACGGACAGAATCAAGAATGATTGCAGTGTAATGGACATCTTGGAGTAGTGATTGCAGTGTAACAGACAGAATCTAGAGTGATTGCATTTCAAAGAAAATCATAGAGTGATTGCGGTGTAATGGATATCTCGGAGTGATTGAAGTGTAACGGACAGAATTTGGAGTGATTGCAGTGTAACAGATAGAATCTGGAGTGATTTTAGTGTAATGGACAAAATTTGGAGTGAGTACAGTGTAACAGACAGAATCTAGAGTGATTGCAGTGTAACGGACATCTTGGAGTGATTGCATTGAAACGGACATCTTGAAGTGATTGCAGTGTAACGGACATCTTGGATCGATTGCATTGAATCGGACATCTTGGAGTGATAACAGTGTAATTGACATCTTAATTGGAGTGATAACAGTGTAATGGACAGAATCTGTGAGGCGGGAGATATATGTACCACACTACGCAAAACAATCATGCGATAAACCTTTGTCATCCATTTTGATATTGGATCACTGTATTCATGTATACAATTTAGAATAAATCAATCTGTCCTTATCTGTTTTGTAGTTTTTGCATTACCCTTAATTCCACAACGATTCATGCCAAGATCAAAGAAATGCCGCGGATATTCTGCTATATATAATGGACGTTATCAAAAAATCATCATTGAGATCAAAAACACGCATAAAGCTGTACAATTGAAGTGATTGTTTGACTGAAGAATAAAATATACTCAACAAAAAAGTTAAGGGTTATGTAAAATATAATGTAGATAATTAAGGAAATTTCATTTCTGAAATTTATTATAAATTGATGTGATGAATCCAAATTTTGTATGGATTTTAATGATGGAAGGTGACGAGTGTGGGAACAGAAGAATAAGTGTTTTATTGCTTGTTGGGTGGCTAAATATGATTGCTTTGGTGTTTTGTTATGTTATGGTATGGGGAGGCATTTCGATTCTGGGGTCCACGCAGTTGTACATCATCAAATATGGAGCACTGACCGGTATCAGATACAGAGAAGAGATCTTTCAGCCAACTGTGAGAACATTAGCCTGGGCATTAGGAGCAGAATTAGTTTTAATGGATGACAACGCCAGGCCCCACTGAGCAAACATCAGGTGAACCAGTACCTTTAGGCAGATACTATCGAGAGAATGGAGTGACCTTCAAAGTCACCAGACCTCAGTCTTATTGAACATGTCTGGGATCTTCTTCAGAGACAAATTTAGCAGCGGGATCCTGCTCCTTGGAATATCAATGAACTTGAAATTGCTCTGTTAAGGGAATGGGATCGGATATTGCAAAGGACCATCCGTTCACTCATTCGAAGCTTCCCCATGCGATGCACGGCTGTATTTCAGGCAAGGATAGGCCATACCAAGTATTGAAAGTTGTTGGATAATTGTCAGTTTTGAATTAGGCCTAAAATAAAAATTAGTTTGTTTGCCTACCGACCCACTGAAAATGCCCCGACCCAAACTTTTTTTAGGCCATTTTGTAATTTTATCTTTTTTTCAATTTTCAGAATATTAAAACTGTTTTATTTTCAATTTTTGACTTCTGTTTTTATCAATCAATGGTTTATATCAAGAGTGGAGCTTACTCATGTTTAGTAGGTCTATGAAAACATGGAAAAGCTCAATTATTTGTTATCTAACAAAAATCTGATTTTTTTATTAAAAAAAAAAGAATGCCTACCTACCTACCCAGTCTAAAAGTTATTGGTCGGCAACTGCAAACAAAGATTTTTTTAAGCCTGGCCTTAAACAAATTATGCAATAACTGTATATGGAAATTACTCTGAATAGGAGGGTATCCATATTTGTTAATCTTGTTCTTCTGTCCAAGTGAACATTTACCATTAGTTTTTTTTTATCAAATGTGTAATTACTTTACATGGGAAATTATGCAATTTTTTTTAATTGAAATATACTTTTTCTATACAGAAATTTTAAATGAAGGTTTTCATAACCCTTAACTTTTTTTTGTTGAGCATAATTATTTAGATCATATCAAAGAGTCGCCATTCGCAGTCTAAGGACTGTGAAAGTATTGTAGAAAGTAGCTGACGAATGTAGGTTTTTATAGCTAAATGGGGCTGTTCAACAGACCTTCATAAGCCACATTTAAACGCCGTGATTTTAGTGATAAACGTTATAAAGCGGTAAAATAGCAGATTGACTTTCTTATTGTATACCCACAATTATTAGTCAATATATGTTACAAACACATATATAATTATTAAAAGGTTAAATTTTATTGCACCGAAAAATCGTCTGCATTCTATGCACAGATTAATAAATCCATACTCTAGTGCTAAATGGAACAGCATTATCGCAACATGGTAGCCTAATTCGTTTCTCTATAGCGAAACGACCAGTCGTATTTTAGAGCTACTTGTAGAATAAAAAATAAAATCCTTGTCGTGAATGATGCAGAATAACCTTCTCCTTCTCGAAATGTTGTTTGAAATATAAAAGCCTCGGATAACGCCTCGACTTTTCAAACATCTTCCGACCTCGAAGGTTTTTCTGCAACATTCAAGAAAACGCTTGTCGATCCTCGAACCAAACTGTCTGCCTTCGGCATAACGGCCTCATGCAGACAGTTTGGTTCGAGGGTCCGACAAAACGCATGTTGCCCGCGAACTCGGTCAATAAATGTATATTATGGTCAAAAAACAAGAAAACAGCACTTTAGAGAAACAAATTCATATAAAACCCAAGTCAATTTATAGAATTTAATTCATATCAAAAAAGACAAACAGTTGATAATTACAAACAACAGAAACGGTATAATGTACTATAAAAACGGTTGTACCTTTGTGTGTTAAGTGTTGAATTTGAGATTTTACAATGGACTACAGAATATGCTGAGTAGATGATCATTGTGTACAAGTTTACACTCTCCTTTACTCGGAACACTTTTCATTTTGTGTTCCTTTACTCGGAACACTTTTCATTCTGTGCCTCCCTTACTCGGAACACTTTTCATTTTGTGCCTCCTTCGTGTTCTCGGTTCTAATCTTTTCTTTCAAATCCCTGATCCTCAGGGTAGGAAAGTCGTGAAGGTCTGGGTTATCGGACAATTTTTCAGAGATAGTGCTGATAGCTCTGTCCCTTGCGTTATCCAGAGTGAGCTAAGTTTAAAAGACAAAAAAAATGACCACTTTAAACATTATTTATAGAATATTGTTTTATAGATATTTCACAACATTTTCATCAACATTCTTGATAACAATTCCAGATTATACAATGTCAGAAAAATATAACGGATAAAGATATATTTTGTGTACGAAAGTCAAATATTTGGACAAAATATATACCACTGCACAAATTTAATTAAAGAAGGTATGTCCAATGGAGTACAGAAATGAAATGAATAAGAAAGTACAGGGACCATAAAATTTTAAGGAGAGCGCATGTCAACTACATGTAGGTTTTACAGAAAAATAATCTGAAAGACTACTGAGTTAGTAGAAATCTGGCTTTTTATAGATACAGTAAGAGATAACAATACCTTAAGCGAAGAAAGTTGTGTTTTCAGCTCGGAACTATTTTCCCCGTTCCTCCTTCTCTGAAAATATATTGATAAGACCCAATACAACCTCATAAAAATCTATTCATGATCATCTAGTACTTCTTCATGCATATTTATATGTAACATGAAAATACCAATGTTTTAAATCTGATCTGACAGTAAGTGAATGGCGCGCCTGTTGTTCTGTGATTACTCTCAGTTATAATCATAGGTTAAGTTTTAGACAGGAGAATCAACGTTATTTTATGTTTGCTATAAAGAAGTCTCTTACTTACGGAGAAACTGAAGTGTAGCAAATTCAAGGAATTGTGCCCACCCCCCCCCCCCTCGCTTTTGGTGTCTTTGTAGTTGAGATGTCATTTTTATGACATATTGTCTCAAATATGACCGCCCTTTCATATGTAAGTTAGAAATTTAATAATCAATCCTGAAGGTCAATAGGTCACATATCATAGCATGCTTGGAAATATTTTGTCACAGGTAATGCACATGTCAAATATAAAAGCCACATATCTTCTCAATATTAGGAACAAAATGTGTTTCTGAAACCCTGAGGACCCCTAGTGGCAACATTGCGAAGATTCAACTTTTCTGAAATGTAAATTAAATATATTACCCAAAGACTTTTTATTAAAAGTAGGTCAAACTTCAAGGTCAAGGTCATTCTTGATATCCAATGAAAGGTACTGTCACATAGATTATTATCATTTTACTAACAGCGTGACAGTTTGCTTGATGGGGCGTGCTTAAATTTTGTGTGCTGATTTTTAATTTACTCATCGATTGGATGCTTTATTTCAATGGAATCAATACTTATTTGCATATGAAACTCAGAATACAACAATATCCCGAGAATACTGGCCAATCACATTGAATGATTCTTCACCAGTGCGGCATTTGTACTCACCAGCAACACGTGGTCAGCCAAAGCCCGTTCTCTGTCCTCAAAAAAGCATGTATTATATTTGTTATGATTTGACCAGATGTTTTTGTATACGTATAAGAAAATTCAGAGAATGGAATTAGTAAGGCTTCTCTGCAACTGTTGTACTATGCAGCGATCAATATCATCATTACAGGTTGTAAAACTTGCTTTGTCCGTCCACGTGGATCTGTTGTTTACCGCATGGTAGTAAATATGTGATTCAATACAATTGGCCAGTATTGTCAGTGGTATTGTTAGGTTCTATCTTTCATATGCAAAGTATTTTTGATTCCTTTGAAATCAAACATCCAATCGATGAGTAAAATGATAATCAGCATACAAAAGTTTAGCACGCCTTATAAAGAAAACTGTCACGCTGTTTGTAAAACGATAATAAATATGCGAAACATTAAAGCGTTAGCCCTATCCCTTTAAATCAATAGACCATTTTCCTATGACTTATTTTGAATAGGAGTTATACCCCCTAGCCGCCATCTTGTAGGGCATAGTAGTAAATTTACCTCTTTGAACAACGAAATCTAATTATAGTTGCAAGAAATATAAGGGGGGGGGGGTATTTACCATCTTGAAATTATGAATTGATAGAGACTTTATTAAATGTATATTCATGAGAAAAACAGTGTTATCTTTAGTAACCAGTATAACATTTTAAACTTGGTTGAATAATGAAGGGATCTGGGAATGTTGACCTTTAATATGGCAGGCATGGGGAATAGCCCTTGCCTAATTCACCTCAATGGGAAACACTATATCATTACGAACGTAAACTGGTTAATAAATGCGACCTGTAAACATGGAAGGACATTATGATGACGAATTGCAGAACCACATTTATATCAGGCCTTTAAATTAAATACATTTGAATATACTATATACTAAGAAACTTTGTGATAAGTGTTGATGAACGTTTACTTTGGAATGTAAAGACATTTAATATATGAAAAAGAGCTACAACAGATTTAAATAAATATTCATATAAATACAGCTTGAGCATCTGACCTTATTCCTGATAATAGAAGTCAGGGTGTAGAGGATTGGATTAATGGCGGAATTTATAGGCAAAACTACTACAACCATCCAGCCATACACTTCAGGTGAAACCTCAATTCCCCAAAAGGTTAGCATTCCTGTAAATAAGAAATATAGGATGATTTTGCTTTAAAGAAAAGACTATTATGGATTAGAAAAAGGATTTTTTTGTGGGTAAACCTTGCATAGAGGCTAGAATTGTTTAGGAAACTTGTTAAGTTAAAGAACCTTACTTCATTGACAAATTCTTATGAAATATATATATCTATCTGAGGAAGGTGTCGTTTGACCTTATCATGTTATATAAGAAATTGGTTATTAAATTTTACCTATCGTCCCTATCGCTATCCAACAGAAGACGTCAGTCAGTACGATGGCAAACAGCGTCATAGCCAGGGAAGCTTCCCTCTGCCTTGTCTTGGTCGATCTGACATTTCTCCCAACATAAATCACTTCTACGAATATCGAAATCTGTCCAACAAGAATGCCAAGGAAAAGAAGAAAATTGATACCCACGAACACAATCATTGAGTATTCCCATCCAGACCTTCTTATAACAGACAATGGAAGCGAGACACATATTCCAGACTGTGCGTAGAAGTTCTCAAGACCAGTGTTCGGAATTAAAGGGAATATGGATAAGAAAGCGGAGAGCATCCATACAGTTGGCATAAGCAAATGCGCTTTCTTCTTTGTAAGTTTAGCATCTGAAAATGGATACTTGACAATAATAAGTCTATCGAGGGTGATGAACAAAACAACAAAAGCAGATACCTCGCTCGAAAGAGTGGCCATGATTCCGGCTAGGGTACAAATATAGCTATGTCTCCAAACGTAGTCGTTCATCCCGTAGTCTCCCGTATAACGTAGATTTATAAAAGCGATTATAAAGAGATAAACACCCATCAAAAAGTCAGCACAGCCCAGATTCATTGCTAGGATGTAATAAGCACCAGCTTTTTTGCCTTTAGATTTTTCAACGTTAAATATTAGAACAGCGATGTTTCCAAAAGCCGCTATTAAGGCAATGTACCATATTAAAACATTGAGAACCGGTACAGCTATCAGGTTCTCACAAGAGGAAATCTCGTTCACCGGAGCTATACATTGAATATCATATCTGCTGTTGGGTTTCGCGCAGCATATCGTATAAAGACTAACCACCATCAATCGTAGACTAACAAGACCTTCAAACATTCCAACAGTGACCTGAAAGGAGTTTTCTTGCAAATATAGCTCTTCCAAATTCTGAAGTGGAATGAAGGTTCCAGAAGCGATTTCTGAGATGTTGTTATGTGACAAGTCAAGATAGGTGAGTTGTGGTGTACCAACGAATGCTTCAAAGTGTATTGAGTGAATAATGTTGTTTGACAAATTCAGAAATATCAAATTAGCGGCGAGAAGGTCTCCAGCATTAACAACCGTAACGTTATTGTACGAGATATCAAGGATTCTCAAGCTGGTTTCGACTGTTGGGACGTAATTTGCTCTTCTGACAGACTTGATTTGGTTGTTGTTTAGGAATATAACATGTGTATGAGTCGCAGAATGTGCGTAGCTTGTAAGCCTGTTGAAGCTGAAGTCCAAGATTCTACAATAACTAATCGAAGGCATTTTTGTGAACGCGTTGAAGCTTGCATTCAAGATATCTCCCAGGGTAAAAGAAGATTTTTTGAAGTCTCCAAATGCATTACCAGAGATATCATAGATTTGTGGTTTATTATCAAATGTAACATTTCGAATATGATATGTAGAATTCATAGATGAAAACATATAAGAGTACTGAAATGTAAGTTCTGATACCGATGAGTTCAACACGTGAAGAGAATGGAATGGTTCATAAATTACGTTATCTCCAGAAGCTACATATATTTTGACAATGGTACTATGCATAATAATGATTCTGTGAAGAGATATACGGGTAGTCAGTTCAATTGTAAGCTTTGTAATGAAAGAATTGCATATTTCAATCTTGAATATGTGCCTGCTTTGTAAGAAGTATCTTTCGTAGATATCATCTAATTCCAGAGTCCCACAACGAACGTTTTGTAATACGAGTTTTTCTGTATACGCTGGGCAACGATCTCTCACACAAATGTAGCTTTCCCCAGAACAGTTACAAGCTTCTGGGCAGAAAGGATGACACGTGACAGAACTCTGACTGTTGGGTTTGCAGCTGTTGGATAAACCAATTTGCACAAAACTTGAACACGTGATTGAATAAGACGACATAATCTTGGAGTTTCCTTTGCAATCAGAGGAATTGTTATGTTTCCACTCACAGACTCTTTGGCAGTCATTGTGAGGCGGAAGCATTTCTTCCACTAGCTGTCCCTGAGAGCAGTTAATGTAAGAAACTTTTGAGGACTTGCTACAGTTAGTAGATAAATTAGAAGTATTTTCTGTCCATTTCAATATGGAATCATTTTTAGAAATAGAAAGTAAACTGGCACAATCAGCAGTCGGTTCTAAGCACTGTTTACAATCAACAAGAATACACTGGGATATATTGCTGTATCCGGGTCCGTTTAAGATAAATGAATCGCTGTTGTTGGAACTGAGGCATTCAATATCCATTGATAAATTAAGATAAGGAAGCAAATATGAAAAATCTTGTGCGCAATTGCAAAGACCTTTCTGAATACAGTAACTACAAGACAAAGTAATGGATTCATTGTGATTTAAAACAGAGAAGAGATATAGGGAATTTGTGAGATTTTTATCAGGAAATTTTTGAAAACAAGCCGTAGATATTGTGTACGAGACATTATCACATTCGTTGTCAACAGAAACATTCCTTGTACATTTCAAGAAAAATTGAGCGGGGGCTATGGTTCCTGTTGTACTTTCTTCCGTTAATTCTTCAGAGACACCTAGGGACTGTTGTGGGTATGACACCCTGCTGCAGTTTAAGTCTAAACGGCGCAAGTAGTATAACGTTCTTGATTCTGAAAAATAAGATTAATATGATCAAATACTCTTTATGATGTGGTAGAAAAAAACACAATTTTATTACTTTGTTTTTAGATTTAAAAAAAAAAAGATGCACGCTGTCTTTTTTGAGAATCATCGGAACCTGATACCAATTGAAATAAGCCACTAAAAATTATTAAATCTTAATTGTGATATTTTCCGTTGCGATTAAACATGTTCTTTTCTTAAGAAACTTACTACAAAACTGCTCGTCTGATTTATCGGCACAGTGATATATATCATCACATATTTGATCAGGGGGAATGCATTCCGAGCTTCGACATTGGAAAAACTGCACCGGACATGTATCTATTGGTTAAAGAAAAAATAAACTTTAAGAAGCATTGTCCATCACAGGATAACACTATCCCATTTAGTAAAATTGGATTTACAGAAATATAACTATATCGGAGATCTGACAATCAGTTACAGGTCCAGACATTTTAGTGTACTAAATGTGCAGGTATTTTAGTGTTACAGGGACTGTATGTTATAATAACCTTTTACATAGCTTTATTGGATTAGATCACATGACCAATCGTATTTACATCCCGATGAAAGTTTAAAATGATATAATGTTTGTTAAATATTTTTCATCGAAGCTTAATAGATTAAAAAAGAAAATCAAGGTGTACTTACCATAACATACCATGTAAAGAATAGTTACGTCATCTAACATAGCAAGACTCCACGTTCCGTCTAAAATTAATGCTCGGAAATGTATCTATAGAGAAACATTTAGAAGAATGATTATTTAGAATTCAGAATGAATGCCATTTATAAACTAAGACTAGAGGTGAGGAATGTGTTTACTGAATGACACCCCAGCTTCCCACATGCATCAAATGGTAAATTATTTTTATTTTTTTCTGGGAGACAAAAAAAAATGTCAGATCGAAAATGTAAAATACGAAGAGCCAAAATGAATTTTAGAAGGAAGAATGTGTGATGCTATATTTAAATTTTATTCAGTTGCATAGGATGAGTTACAGATAAAAGATGATTCCTTAAGTATTAAAGAGAGAACATGTCTATGTCTTAATATGGAAAACCCAAAATATGTCTCCAATTAAAACGTAAAATAAGAGTTGCACAATTACATTTTATTACTGAGATTCTTTGAAAATTTCGTTAAAGTGATATAAGAAATGCGGATAAGAAATGTGTACCCCACATAACAGACGGACGGATGGACGTACAGACAGAAGATCAGACTTCACGATCACTGTATACACCCCACTTTTCAAGCTGGGGTTAATGATTTACTTAAGCAAAATTGACATTTACGTACTCTATATTCCTTTACAAACGGCAAGTTGATAAAACCATACGACATGTTCCAAATTTGTTTCTGTGGGACATGCGTATTCAAAGGAATATCAGAGTAGAGGTCATCCAAATCTGTCAAGTACGAAACCGTCATGTAGGCGGTGCCTGTCAGTAGGTATCTATACCTCAAACAGTGGGGCTTCGTGGAAAGGAAGGATATGACTGGTGAATATAACAGAGATGTTGCAAAGTAGTACCACTTCGAGCCCTTTATACCTTCCTCTGTTGAATCACTGTATACCATGGTCTTTAACTTCAGTTCTAGAAAATTGATAAATGAAAGAGGTCTATTAAATATATGAAATTTTTTTTCTTGAAGAATTTTACAATGAATGGTAAAATAGTTTATTTTGTAGGTCAATGGTATGCGTGTCCCTCTCATTTAAAAGAATGAACTGAAGTTCTCCATCCATGCCTCATTCGACTTAATTTAATAAAAGTATTAAAGACGGTGAAATAATAATTTAACTTTTGTTGGAATAATTGTTCTCCTATTCTTATTATCATTGTCATAAAATTTTTCAGAATACAAAATCATCTTTTTACCCTAAAATCGATATTGATGTAGACGATGTATTTTCATTTAAGGATATGGCTAGGAAGGGCATCTCTTCGAGATTTGGCAGTTTGGCTTTTTACTGCCTACCACAAAGAGTCCAACCTTCCTGATCTTTATTTCAATTTGAATCACAAAGAGTTAATCATTACTTCTATTACCTGTATGATCACCATCCAAGATGCTTGTGTCCTGCTGTAATATTATATGACCTGTTGACTCACCTAATCATTTACCGTGGTACAGATTTTCAGTTGTAGTATTATATAACCCGTAAGATCACCTGTCGAGGCACTGGTTTCCTGCTATGGTATAGCATTACCTGTTGATTCACCTAATCATATACCAATGTACTAATTTCTTGCTGTAGTATTATATTACCTGGCGAATCAACTGCTCACCTGTCGAGGTACCGATGTCCTGCTATAGTTTTATATAACCGGTAAATAACCTGATCATCTGCCAAGGTGCTGATTACCTTTTGTAGTATTATTTTACCTGTAGGAATATATTCCTCCGTGTAATTAGTTATCGTGCCTAGACGCCAGTGATTCGCCGGTATAACTGTTTTTTTTTCAGAACGACATTCTTTCATCAACCTTTTATCAAATCCACAGAACTGCCTCGGGTATTCTAGTTTCACTTCACCGACGTCATAAACTCTCCAGTGGCACAAATTCTCAGTAAATTTACAACTAACTGTCAAACAAAGAAGAGGTATTTTACTTAATATATGTCAAAAGTAAGTTTTTTCTCATTATATGTACTTAAAAAAGGACAATAAGGCTGAGAGAATTTCTCTTGAATTTTCGATTGAACTTTTTCAACATGAATTCAAATTTGATGCTTATAAAACAGGATTGAAGAATATCATGACTGGAATACAAAGTTTTTGAAAAGTAATGAAGCTGAAGATCTAATTTAAACAATAAAAGCAGAGGAAACTCGGAGCTCTAGAAACTTCAATTTATCTTACAAACACAACCATCCATTTCACACACAACTCGTACTAAATTATGATGAAAAGTTTTATCCATGAATGGAGCAGTTTGTCTGCCACCCTCATCAAATGTACAAAAATGAATTTACAAGAGTAAACCCTTTTTTACATTAATAATTGCAAAATCATGCTCTACGTATGAACAATTCTAAAACGAGGTAAATTATTGACAAACAAGATGATGAAACAAGAATGTCAGCATTCCAATTTAAAGTCATCTTTTTCTAACTTCTATGGTCGATACAATGGTCATGTCAGCCAAAACAATTTTTCATTGATCCCAATGCTGACTGACGTTTTTCATACTAATTGTTAGTCCATTATTAATACACTGAATTGACGATGGAATTTTCTGTTATTTCCGGATCATGACAATGAGCACACGGAAGGTAATGCTCACTCCTCCATGGCACCTGATCACACCTGCGATGTTTTGAAAGTTCGTGATTGCTCTGCTCCTATATTTTATTGTTTAATGGACTTTTGATCTTGAATACCTTTCGTTATATCCTTGGTTCATGATACATTTTCATAAATACAGAGCAAAATCCAAGTCGTATAAAACATGATCAATATGCAATTTGGCAGTTACTTTGTTTAGGAGTATATTCAGTCCCTTAATTAACGTTGAAAATTTAAAAACAACCAATCATTTAGCGTACATTTTATCGATAAATAAAAATTATGAAAGACTAAGATTTCTTTTTTTTCTTACTTTTCTGGCGAAATATTTTGCTTGCTTTGTTTGTCCATCTGCTTTGTCTTGTATCAGAAAATACCGCGAATGATCACTAAAATATATCGTCAATCATTTTATATTATTAAGAAACACTTACATAATGATTTGATATCCGCTAAATCGACACACCAACAACATAACATCATAAATATGTGCTTCAACATATCGCCCTAAAACAGAAGCAGATACACATGTTCATGTACCATGCATCAATGTTCTACTTCAGTAATATTTCTAAAAAAAAAAATTAAAACTGGCCCATTTATCCTGTTTTTTTTCTTCAAATCATGCATGAAATCACATGATAATAAACAGATTTACCAATTGTATGTATAAGATATTATCGGTTTGGTTTAATTATTGCATAATGATATCAGCAATGACAGTTTATTGACGATACCAAGAAACCTTTTTTGAATGTTTTGAATAGAACAGAATTTACAAGATAAACCATAAAATCATTTACTATTTTATAATTAAATTTTTCACATCTCCTTAAAAGATAAAAAAATCTTAAAATGAATGTTCTCTTATATATAAAATAATGTAAACTTTGGTAATTGTTTCCCTTTTTATTAATAAATAAAGAATTAAAAAGAATAAAATGAATACTTACAAGACAGAAATACTATTGCATCATTGGTACCAATGAACATATCTGAAGAATGCAAAGAGAATACAGAAAATTTGTTCTTTTCTAAGATTATCTTATCTGTTGTGCTTGACAATATCTCTTTGAACTTGATTTATATTACTCTTGTACTTCTTAACAGTATTTCATCATCAATGTCAACTTTCATATTTTGTAAAGTTAATATGACAAGCATTTTGCGTCAAGCAGTTATCCAACCGTTCACAGATAAGATGCCATCTCAGATTAAAAAAAAAGACACTACAAAAGAATGTATCATTTTCCAATACACAAATTTTCCATATACATTATTAATTTTTTTTCCTGGTATTATATTACTAAACATCAATCAATTATATTATTTAATTACGAACGGAAGCATAAAATACTTACAAAATGAATTTTTTTAGCATTGGAATGTATAGAAAAAAACGTACATTTCTACCCAACAAAACTATGATTAGTTAAATCAATATACAAAAACACCCTTTAATTGGGCAGGTAGACTTCATTTATATTTCACTCGCAAAGTAAGTATCGTTTATTAAATTCAAAGTTTAGTTTAAGGTATTCAATCCCTAATAGGAACAAATTTAATGAAATTCAATACATAACAGATATGTAGGCATTGAATACTCAATTTATTTAGACATATTTCCCATATATTACTATTAGTATGTATAGTGGGATGTGTCCTAATTTATGACCTTGAATTTTGTTAAGAGTTATCTCCCCTTTAATAATAATAATAATAATAATGCTTTATTTAAAGAAGGTAACCCGATTAGTACAAAGTACTATTCTTCCCCGGGGCCTTCTACATTTCAACAATATACATAAAATGGTACAGTCAAACATATATACAATGTACATGAAAATGATAAGCTCATTCTATAACTTCATAATCGAATGTAGTATACAAATTAATGAAAATATAGGACAATAAATAAGTCAATATACAAAGTTTAAAGACATAGCTAATAACAATAAAAAGGACATCTATAATAATAAAAATTACACACGTTGGCTTATCATAACTTTTTCCAAATTCTTTCTAAAAACATGTAAAGATGGCGATAATTTAACATGTAATGGTAGACTATTCCATAAATGTACACCAGAATATTGTAAAGAGTTTGTAAATAAGATTGTTCGATGCTTTGGTAATCGAAGATTATAATTAAATTCTGAACGCAATGAGTATGATTCAGAACTGTGAAAAATAAAAAGATTCTGGATATATTCTGGGCTCATACCATAAAAAGTTTTATACAATAAAATACATTTATGAAACGTAACTAACTCAAAAACATTTAACCATCCTAGTTTATCAAACAAAGGCTTAGATGGTTGGTCAGGTGCTGCATCAAGAATAATTCTAGCAGCCCATTTCTGAAGCTTATGAATTCTCTCAATGTTACATTTGGACGTATTACCCCAGACTGTGAGACAATAGTTTATTGTAGGCAAAATGTATGCATTATAGAAAAGTTTTCTTGTACTTAATGGAAGAAATTTCTTAATTTTACGGAGCGTAAATAATTTGTATCTCAGGGATTTACAAACTGCATCAACATGACAATTATACTGAAGAGATTGATCTATCTGAATACCTAGGAGTTTTTCAACTTCAACATTTTCCAAGTTTTTGCCAGAAATTTTTGCATCAAGTACTGGGTTATTTAATCTTGATCTTTTTTGTTGTGTACACATAAGCATGCATTTTGATTTGTCTGTGTTCAGTATCATTTGATTCTGTAAACACCAGTTTTCAATTTCACGTAAATCAGAATTTAAATGTGTTTCAATATTATGTACATTGCTGTTAGGTAAATGCAGAGTTGCATCGTCCGCAAACATATCAATATTAGAGTAATTTACACATAAAGGAAGATCATTTATATACAATAAAAATAGGAGTGGGCCTAAAATGGATCCCTGTGGCACCCCTGCTGTGATAGGTAAAATATCGGAAGAACATGCGCCAATTTTTACACTTTGCTTCCTTTCGTTTAAATATGATTGGAATCACTTGATTGTTAGTGAATCAAAATTATAATGTCGTAATTTCTCTATTAAGATATCATGACTGACTAAATCAAACGCCTTACTAAAATCTAGAAAAGCTATGCCAATTAAATTTCC